CGCTCTGTGGGGCATGTCTGCTGAGCAGTTAGTTGATCTGATTGGTACTCCCCATGCTATGTATGCTGTTGTTGACTCTAGTGTTTCTGACTCTGCTTACTCTGGTGTTGTTAGCTTAGGTGCTAGCCTTGCTCAGTTGCCTGTTGCTAGTGTAGGTTCTTGTGTAGACTCTAGTCCAGCGGCTACCTCAGAGGACGGTTCGCTGTCGTTCACGCTGGACTCTGGAGCCTCTCACTGCTTCTTTCGTGACAGCACGACACTTACGCCTCTTCCTGCGCCTGTTTCTGTGGCGCTGGCTGATCCCACTTCGGGACCAGTCACTGCGCGTCACACTACCACCTTGCCGTGTCCGGCTGCTCCTTCTGGGTCTCTCACTGGGTTTCACGTCCCCTCGTTCTCCCGGAACTTGGTGGGCGTGCGACCCCTCGTGAGTCAGCACGTGGGTGTGTGGTTTGAGCCTTCTGGAGAGACTGCGGTGTGTGTTGACGGGGACTCTTACCAGCCCCTCGCCACTTTTGCTGCTGAGCCGGGCTCCGGTCTCTACACTCTTCACACTGGCCCGCGCGCTCAGCAGCGACTGCAGCAGCAGCAGCCGCAGCAGCAGCAGCAGCAGCAGCCGCAGCAGCAGCAGCGGCAGCAGCCGCAGCCGCAGCCACAGCGGCCGCCGTCGCAGCAGCCACTCCTCCCAGTTCCTGTCCCTCCCCCTAGTCTCCTCCCTGCGTCTCACCAGGTGGTTCCGTCCCCTCAGGTTGTCGCGTCCAGTCCAGTCGCTGCGTCTTGCTCCTGTCGGTCGCTTGCCCACCCCACCGTTCTGTGGCACCACCGGATGGGACACCCTTCTCTTCCACGTCTGCGTGCTATGTCTAGTCAGCGTCTGGTCTTAGGTCTCCCGCGTGTCTTGCCGTCGCTGCCGCCGTCCCTTGCACCACCGTGCGGTCCTTGCGTCGAGGGTAGGCTGCGTGCCACCCCTCACTCCTCCTCCCTTCGTCCGGCCACCGAGCCTTTTGAGACGCTGCACTTGGACGTCTGGGGCCCCTCTCCTCGCCCTGGCCCTGAGCGTGAGCGTTTCTTTTTGGTGGTCGTTGACGACTACTCCCGCTACACCACAGTGTTCCCCCTGGCGAGGAAGTCTGAGGTGACTTCTACGCTGATCAGGTGGTTGCTTACCACCCAGGACACTCGTGGTCGTCGTGTCAGCTGTCTCCACTCCGACCGCGGGGGCGAGTTTCGCTCCGGCATTCTCGCTGGATTCTGTCGCGAACAGGGCATTCGTCAGTCCTGGACGCTTCCGGAGTCCCCACAGCAGAATGGGGTTGCTGAGCGTCGCATAGGCCTGGTCATGGAGATTGCCCGCACCTCCTTGACTCACGCCCGTGCCCCCCATTTCCTGTGGCCATACGCAGTCAGGTACGCCGCGCACCAGCTGAACCTCTGGCCACGTGTCTCTCGGCCGGAGGCTTCACCGACCAGTCTTTGGACAGGGTCCCCTGGTGTCGCGTCGAGGTTTCGTGTCTGGGGGTGCTTGGCTCTTGTCCGCGACACCTCCGCGGACAAGCTCTCGCCTCGCGCCGTTCCTTGTGTTTTCCTTGGTTTCCCTGAGGACTCCTCTGACTTCACCTTTTACCACCCTCCCTCTCACCGGTTCTTTGACTCCCGTGACGTCCGTTTCGAGGAGTCCACCCCGTACTACGTCAGGTACCCCAGTCGAGGTCTCCCGGTTCCTCCTCCCCCCCTCTTCCTGACCGCCGCTCCCCCGCCTGCTCCCCCGGTACAGCCTCCCCCCCCTGGTCCAGCCCCGTCTGGTGTGTCTCAGGCTAGCCCTCCCCCTTCGGTAGCCCCCCCTGTACAGCCTCCCTCCCCACAGTCTTCCTCACCGCCTCCTGTAGGTGCTCCCTCTCGGGAGGTTGGTCCTGCGACTGTCCCTGTACAGGTCTCTGGTTCTGGGGGTGCTGGAGTTGGAGCTGAGCCGCGGGTTGCAGAGGACTCTTCTCCTCCGGGGGCTGGTACTGGTCGTGCGGAGTCTGGGGGTGCTGGTGCTGCGTCTGGGGGTGAGGGTGTTCCTTCGGTTTCTGGAGAGCCTGGGTCTGGAGCTGGTGTTGGTGCTGCCTCTGGGGGTGGTGTGCTTGGTGCTTCGGAGGTCGACTCTGGGGCTGCCGCTGCCCCGGACACTACTCCTTCCCCCCACCCCTACCCGACCAGGTTCCAGGCTCGTGTTCGCCGTGCTCGTGAGGAGCAGCTGGAGTTAGAGAGAGAGGAGAGAGAGTTGCAGCGGCTCGAGGAGCAGGAGCGACAGCAGCAGGAGCAGCAGCAGGAGCAGCAGCAGGGGCAGCAGCCGCTGGAGCAGCAGCAGCCGCAGCAGCCGCAGCAGCCGCAGCAGCAGCAGCTGCCGTCTCCTCCTCCTGTCTCGGGTCTTCGGACCCTTGGTCTCCCCTCTCCCTCTCCTTCCTCCTCCCCCTCTCCTCCCGTCTCTGGTCCTCCGCTTCCTCCTCCTGACCCCTCTCCCGCTGTTTTCCCTCGTTCTCAGTCTTCGTTGTCCCCTCCTCCTTCTCAGACTTGGGCCTCTCGTCGCTCCCCTCGTGCTCGTCCCTCGTCTCCTGTTCCCTTCACTGACCTTCGTACTGCCTTACTTCGTTCTAGTCCACCTCGTCCGTCTCCGTCTGTGCTTCCGTCTCCTCCTGAGTCGGCTCTCACTGCGTCGCTCCCTACTCCTGTCACTGACTACTACCGCACGTACCGTCCTCTTCTCTCTCGTGTTCTCGCCTCACTTGTTACTCACCCTCGTGCCTCTGTGTCCTCTGTGTCCGCTCTTACTGCCGCAGTCACTGAGTTTGCCTCTACCCGCCGCCTTGACTTCGCCACCGCTCTTGTGGCTGCTCCTCCTTCCAGTCCTCTGGCCGTCGGGGGTGTGTCTGCCCTTGGCTGTGACGCCCTAGAGGACAGGCAGTTTGAGCTAGAGTTCCTGGCGGCCGCTTCCCCTCATCTCTGTGCCATGCTCCTCGCCCCTGAGGGTGACCCCGACGCCCTTGACATTCCGACTCCTCGCACTTACGCTGAGGCAGTGTCAGGGCCTTGGGCCTCTCAGTGGAGAGCTGCCATGGACGCAGAGATGGCCTCCTACAGATCCACAGGCACCTACGTCGATGAGGTTCCCCCTCCGGGGGCGAACGTAGTCGACGGCATGTGGATCTACAGGGTGAAGCGGCCACCGGGATCTCCTCCGGTCTTCAAGGCGCGCTACGTGGCTAGAGGTTTCAGTCAGCGCGAGGGAGTTGACTTCTTTCAGACCTTCGCGCCCACCCCGAAGATGACCACTCTTCGGGTGTTACTACACGTAGCAGCACAGAGAGACTACGAGTTACACTCTCTCGACTTCTCTACTGCTTTCCTTCAGGGCAGTCTTCATGAGGAGGTCTGGTTGCGTCGTCCCTCTGCCTTCACTGGCTCTTTCCCTCCTGGGACCCAGTGGAGGCTGAGGCGACCGGTTTACGGTCTTCGTCAGGCTCCTCGTGAGTGGCACGACACCCTGCGTTCTACCCTGTCTGACCTTGGGTTCCAGCCGTCTTCTGCTGACCCGTCGCTGTTCGTTCGTCGTGGCACCACACCTTTCTTTGTTCTGGTCTACGTTGACGACCTTGTTTTCGCCACCCCTGACAGGGTTGCTTTGGCACACGTGAAGTCCGAACTGCAAAAGAGACACACCTGCACTGATCTTGGTGAGCTGCGCCACTACCTTGGCCTGCAGATCACCAGGGACAGAGCTGCTTGCACCATTACACTTTCACAGTCGCACATGGTGCAGCAGGTCCTTCAGCGGTTCGGGCTTCAGCACTCCACAGTACAGCGCACACCTCTTGCTGTTGACCACAGACTCACTGGACCCTTTCCTGACGAGCCGTTCGAGCCTAGTGGTCCCTACGCTGAGCTTGTGGGTTGCCTCATGTACCTGATGACTTGTACTCGCCCGGACCTCGCCTTCCCTCTCAGCGTTCTTGCGCGCTTTGTTGCGCCAGGGAGACACCGTCCTGTTCACTGGACAGCAGCTGTGAGGGTGGCGAAGTACCTAGCGACGACATCAGGCATGGGGCTAGTTCTTGGAGGGCAGCAGTCTGTCGTACTTACTGGTCACTGTGACTCCTCTTACGCTGACGACGCTGAGACTCACAGGTCTACTCAGGGGTACTGTTTCAGCCTGGGTTCTGGAGCTGTTTCCTGGCGGTCCACGCGCTCCTCTTCGGTCTCGACCTCTACAGCTGAGGCTGAGATCTACGCTGGTGCCATGGCGGCACAGGAGCTGCGTTGGTTGACCTTCTTGCTCACCGACCTTGGTGAGCGGCCGAGCTCTGCACCGACCTTGTTCACTGACAACAAGGCGTCTATTCTCCTTTGTCGAGAGCCACGACTGGAGAGCAGAGTGAAGCACATTCACGTCAGGTACTTTCTTCTTCGAGAGTTGCAGAGGCGTGGACAGGCTCGCTTTGAGTTTGTGGAGTCCGAGGCCAACACTGCAGACATCTTCACCAAGGCGCTTCCGCCTTGTGACCACCAGAGGTGCTGTGTGCAGTTAGGCCTTGTTGACACTGGTTCTCGTGTTGCTTAGACTTGAGTGTACTGTTTACTTTGCTTTCTATATATCTCTGTTACTTCTTGGACTGGCCTTGTGGCCACTGTTGTTTGTGCTCAGACTGTGTGGTGACGTTGTGATCCACCCTGAGCTTTGTTTCTTGGACTGGTCTTGTGACCGTACTCGTTTGGTTCTGCTAGACACCCCTCACTTAGGCTATGGGGGTGTGTCAAATGTTGTAGCCTATAGTGAGGTTTGTCTTAGGGGGTACAAAACTTAGGGTTAGCTATATGTACCCCAACCAACATCAATGCACCATCCATTCTTCATTCTGACATCGAGTGTTTTGATGGGTATGGTAATGGTAATTGGTTAACGCATTCAGTCACTTAATCATGGATGAATAAATACACTCTGCTTGCTCCAATCAAGATACCAGTTAGTGAATATCGGCTTGAGGCGCATCCCTCTCACATTGCACGTGCTCCAAGCACTCGAGTGAATCACAGCGTGGCTCACTGAATTCACAATATATGCCCCAACCGTGCTTTTACCCCCTTTGACTATATTCCGAAGTTCAGTGTAGACTGTAGACGCCATGCTTAGCAGCGCCAACCGCTCCTCTTGAGTGCAGTACTGGTCCCGCCACGTCACCTGGTCCCACAATTTTCTCTCCACTATCTGGCTCACATTTGGCCGCTGCTGAAACAGCTCGCCTCTAAGGCACTTGGTGTTGTATGCGCTGTTTTGACCAAGCTGGTTGCCGTATGGTATCAGAACGAGGTCAAAAAGAGCTTGGTAGATGAAGATGGGGGTGGTTACAGTGGGCAGGGCGTACTGTGGGAAGAAACACATCCAGGAGTCTGAAGTGCCGGCGGTGGGGTGGGGTGGGGTGGGGTGGGGTGGGGTGGGACGGGATGAGATGGGATGGGATTGAATGGGATGCAGGGCAAAAAGAACGAATGCTATGAAGGGCGTGAGAGAGAGAGAGAGAGTGCATGCCAAAGTGACGCCCAGGCCAAGGTGCCTTCTGAGGTGGCAAGCCTGCGATGGGCGTGAAAGGGAAGGCATGGGGTGGGGTGGCGCATACAAGGCCATGGGATGGGTGGGGCGCAGGAAAGCTACACAGCTCGTTGCAAGCCAGATGCTGAAGCAGCTCTAGGGAGGATTGATGATTGCGGTCCATCGATGCAGCACCAGTGCGTGTATATCACTGGTGTGCGTGCATGCTACATTGCTGCCTCTAAAACATGGGGGGATGTTGATATGGTGGAAGGACGCCACTTGCTGCACTTTCCAGTCACGTGGTTGATAAAAGAGTCAAGATTTGCCACACTGATGAGCCGGGTCTAAAGGCCTACCTCTAGGGCAGGGGGGGATGTTGATCTGGTGGAAGGACGCCAGTTGCTGCACGTTGTCCCGCCACCGGTACTGCCCGAACCGGTCCTTGGCATCTGCCGCACGTGAGAGAGGAGGGGGCAGGGTGGTCGAGAGAGTGAAGGGTAGTTAGGCGCATGCGCAATAGTGCGAGAGATGCATGGATGGATGCACACGGCAATCGGGCGTTGCTGAGGGAAGGGAAGTAGAGTGTGTGCTGGCAAGACCAGGAAAAACGCTGGTTGGTTGTTTCTTTGCAGCAGCAGCAGCACTGACCAGCAAGGAAGGCTGCATCTGAGAAGCACTTGGTGTAGGCGGCAGGGAAGGCAGCCGCCACGCGGTCACACAGCATCACCACTGCCTGCCCGCCTGCTGAACTGCCCGAGAGCAGGATTCGCGACGCTGCTGCCATGCCCCTCTTCTCCCTCAGGTCTGCGTAGGGAAGGGTGGAAGATGGTGACGAGGAGGAGGGGAATTTTGAGTCGACTCAAAAGTCACCTCGTTACAATGGCACACGGCACAAAAGGATTGCTGCCATGCCCCTCTTCTCCCTCAGGTCTGTGTAGGGAAGGGTGAGGTGGTGGTGACGAGGAGGAGGGAGGAGAGATTAAGGCCAAAGGAAAAGAGAGGGGGAAGGTGGGAGGAGGGAGGAGGGAGGAGGGAGGATGAGAGGGATTACTGACATGCCTGGACACAGTCAGGTGCCGCACAAGAAACCAAGGCAATCCTTGTCCACCCTCCTCGCATCCATACCGTACCGACGTCACCTGAATCATCATGCCCTCACCTTGCAGCACGGCCTGCACGAAGTTCCACCCGTCCAGGTACAGGCTCTTGTTACTCCCCCCCGCCACGTCTATGCCCCCCCTGGTGCCCGTGTCGTATACCCGCCCCCATTGCAGTACACCAGGCGCACGGGGTTCCATTCCTTCTCATGCCAGTACTGTCTCATCCGTCATCAACCACCCACCTTGCAGCACCGCCTGCATGATGTTCCACCCGTCCAGGTACAGGCTCTTGTTTCCCCCAACGTCTATGCGCCCCCGGGTGCCCGTGTACCCGCCCCCATCGCAGTACACGAGGCGCACCAGGTTCCACGTGTGGAAGGCGGGGTTGACGGCTGCGTTGCTGGACAGCAGCCCGCTGAATGCGGGGTACGCCTTCTGGCGAGGGGAAAAGGGGTGACAAGCATGGGGAAGGCGCAAGGGGGAGAAGAGGCAAATCAACACAGGAATAACAAACGGAAGGGAAGAGGTGGAAAAGATGGGAAAGGCGAGTTGTGGGTGGTGGGGAGGGAGGAAGGAAGTGGGAGAGGGGGGGAAGGGGGGGATTTGGGACGGCTGGAAGGACTCGTTTCTGGCTTATGATGTTCTCCCTTCCACTCCCCCACTCCCATCCTCTTTTGAGTCGACTCAAAAGGGGGGGCTTTGGGACGGCTGGAAGGACTAGCTTCTGGCTTACGACATTCTCCCTTCCACTCCCCCACCCCCATCCTCCTTTCTTGATGAACGTTCACCGTTTTCATTCTCTTGTAATTCTGTTTCGCATAATCTCCACACCTCCCGCCACCTCCCATCGCCCCACCCCCCATCTCCCCACCCGCCGTCATCCAACCTTGTATTTGTTGCTTGCTTGTCTAATACTCTCGAAACGGTAAGGGCCTTTTGTTCGTCCAGGCCTCACTCACCTTGTCTTGTTGCCGTGACCAGCAGCAGCGGCCCTGGCGGCCCAATGAGCGGTGGAGCCGAGGGGGTTGATTGAGCGATCGCTTCGTGCAGCTGCGCTCCTCGCTTCTTGGGTCAACTCAACTCAACATAAAAAAATCGAAGCACTGACCTTCCTACCATAACCAGCAGCAGGGGCCCTGGCGGCCCAATGAGTGGTGGAGCCGAGGGGGTTGAGAGATCGCCTCGTGCAGCTGCGCTCGTCGCCGCACCACCCGCCCACCGGCAGGTGCACGTGCCAGTTCGCCCCCCCCGCCCCCCTGCCCCGCCGGATGTAGTACCCCGGGGGACTGCGCGGGTTGGGAGAGGGCGAGATGACAGGAGAAGCGAAGGGAGTGGGGAGAAGGGAGCAGGGGCTATCGGCTGTTAGAGAAGGAGGGAGGATGAGGTGAGGTTATGCGGGTGGGTGGCTCAGGCAAACGGGCCTGACCATGATGGGAGATCGATGGGTGATGGGGGAACTATATCGCTGAACATAGTTACGAATGAGAATTTGGAATCTTACGAGAATCGTCGACGCTCGAAGTTCTCTCGACATTTTATCGAGTTTTGAAACTCTTCTGACGAGGTTTTTTCGAAGCCCCTTCTTCATGTGTTATTTCTTGACGGATGTCAAGAGCTTATGATTCCCTGTTTATTTCGAAACCGCGTTTTGCGGACAGTAGAGAAACTGTCGGAAGCGATAGATCTTGATCTACCGCTTTAATCTTCCCCCCGGGAGACGGGGTCGCGACTGACGCTCCACACGAAAGTTCCTCCTTTCCCCACACATTTCCCCCAGATCGCCGCCCCCCTCTTTCCGAATACGTTGGGGAGTCCCCAACGCGCTCACCTGCCGTCGAGGCATTTGGCGCCGAAGGAGTTGTTTCTTAAGAGAACGAGGCGCACTGCCCCCGGCTTCAGCGCCTTGGTCGACGCCCGCGTCTTTCGCGCCTCGAAAGAAGCAGCTATCGCGTCGCTGATGGAAGCTTTGCCGCGAATGCTGCTACCGATCGGAGCGCGACCGTCGCCATCGACGCGCGCAGTATTGAAGCTGAGGAGGAGAAGCAGCAGCACGAGTACGGATATACCCCCACATGGCATCCTTGCTGATGGATTTACTGTGGTTAATGGCGTCTGCTGCGGTCCGACGAGTCCTTCTAGGAGTCGTCTCCGGCGCGCACGTGGTGGTAACTTGAAGCAGTGGCGAAGCAGCGCGTGTCGCACCGCGGGATCACGTTGTGGACGCATTACGGCTGCTGTGTTTCATAAGCTGGCAAACGCCTGTGCGAAGATCGTGTCGAGCAAGCAGTAGTTGGGGAAGTGTCATGACGGTCGAGTTGGGGACTGATTCGAAAAATGCGACGCTACTGAATTTTGCGACTGTGGGGCGGATCGAGAGAATGTGTATGCTATGCAGGGGGCTGCCTCGAGGGAAGGGAGGGAGTAGGGGGATCTGATCAGAATTACGAAATCTGGTTTTCGAGTGGGTGTGGTATGGTTCGCTGGGACGAGGACACGCGAAGACTGGTGGGGAAAGGCTTGGGCAAGAGGGGGATTGTGGTTCGGATGGGCTTTCTGTGATATTGTGGCACGGTATGGAGGGGGTTCGTGGTTCGGTGAGGTGGTTGGGGGTTAGTGGGGAAACGTGCCGCGGCGCCATTGTGTGGTTCAGGAGGGCGGTTAGCGCGCCAGCTGGCTGTCTTCCCAGAGAAGGGATGTCTGGCGGCGGCGGTTGACTACGTTCAGACATCCTTTCTCAGCGGCGATTCTCTGTGTGTTTGGTTTGGTTCCGTGTGGTTTGCTCTGGTGGGGTGTTGAATATGGTATTGATCGAGGGCAGATGTCAAATCGAACAAAGGGTGATTTCACAGCATAGTGCTTGTTTCTTAGCCTGGCTCTTAGCGTGTGTTTCTCAGCGTGTGTCTCTTAGCGTGTGTTTCTTGGCGTGTCTTTCGTTTCCTTAGCTCACATGGCCTCAAGAACCTGTTGAAGGAGGTGAACCATGAGGAGCACACTCGTATCAGACACCAATCTACACACACGGGCCGAGCCAGATCGTCAGGTCAGCACCCGTACCTGTACCAGCACCTCACATCGAGAGCCCAGACCTGGGTTGTAAATTGACGCCGCCCTTTGACCAAATCTGGCGATTCGGCAAGCCGGCCCAGTCCAGTCGCCTTCTGTTTGGAACGCAGAATACTGTATGCTTTGTAGTGATTCGCATTACTGAACCTAGCAGGACCTCTGGTCTAATGGGAATTTCAGCATCAAATATATCTGGATAATTTTCTGCATTTCATTTACAGAACAAGCTATCTCCAATTGTATACTAGTTTCGAGATTCCACAATCAACCCATGTTTATGTCTCCATGGCTTCAGGTGCTCCATTCACATCATGCAGTACACTAAACCTTATGGAAACAACCTTATAGCTGTACAATACAGTTGAGGTAAGCACTTATACGGGTGTGTTGTGTACCTTTTTTCCAGAAAACCCTACGGTATCATGAATACGTCTTTTATGTTACAAGATGCACAGAGAAATACAAACACTTTCAGTAACAGCCAGTATGAGCCTCTGCGTTTAATGTGAACTTAGAAATGGATGTGTCATTGTTGCTGCTGCTGCTGCTCTGCTAAGCCTCTCTGTCAGCACTGTACGTTTGTGGCTGCTGCTGCTGCTGCGGAGGCTCTCTGTCACTTCTGTTATGTTCATGGCTGCTGCTGCTGCTGCTGCTGCGGAGGCTCTCTGCCACTACTGTTGCGAGAAATAGAGCAGTCTCGTGAGGCTACATGCCACCACTATCATTAGCACTAGCACCCCCATTACCACTAGCACCCCCATTACCACTAGCACCACCATTACCACTAGCACCACCACCGCCACCACTACCACCACCACTGCCATCACCACTGCCACCATCACCACCACTACCACCAACAGCAGCAGCACTACCACTGCCACAACCACCACCAGCACCAGCAGTATCACCACCTCCACCACCACCACCACCACCACCAGCACCACCACCACCAGCACCACCACCACCAATAACATTACCAACACCACCACCAGCAACACCAGCACCATCACCCGCACCAGCACCACCGGCAACATCACTAACACCACCACCAGCACCATCACCACCACCGGCACCATCACCACCTCCGGCACCATCACCACCACCGGCACCATCACCACCACCGGCACCATCACCACCACCGGCACCATCACCACCACCGGCACCATCACCACCACCGGCACCATCACCACCACCGGCACCATCACCACCACCGGCACCATCACCACCACCGGCACCATCACCACCACCAGCACCATCACAACTACCAATGCCACCGCCATTGCCAACACTGCTGCCACCAACATTGCCTCCAGCACCCCCGCTGCCACCACCATCACCAGCAGCAGCAGCGGCAGCAGCAGCAGCCGCAGCAGCAGCACGGCTGCTGCGTATAGTTGCTCGCCTTTCTTTACTCCTCCTCACCTTCTCCTCCGCAATCACAAAGAACCTCCTGAGCTCCTCCTCCATCTGCTCTTTATAATCACCCACCACCCGATGCAACTCCCCCTTCACCCACTCCACTATCCCCCACAGCTCCCTCGCATGCTCCTCCCGCTGCCGCTCCTCTTCTGCAGTCAAGGGTTCTACCATCGCTGCCATGCTAGCCTTTGCTCCCTCCACAATCGCAGCCACGTTGCTTCGAGCGTGCCTCAGCAGGTCCGCGCAGGAGGCAGTGGTGGGTGCGGGTGGGAGGGAGAACGAGTGTGGGTTGGAAACAGCGCCCATGTGTGGGAGAGGCGGAGTGTTGGGAGGGATGCTGTGGGTTGGTGGAGGGCGGGAGGTGTGTGGAGGAGGAGGAGGCATGTGAGGGGCGGTTGGAACCGCCGGGATGGGGGGGATGGTTGGAGTTGACACACGATCCATGCCTTTGGCATTCCCTCCATTCTGAACCTCATCATCAGTAGCACCACGCTGGTTAGTAGCACCACGCTGGTTAGTAGCACCACGCTGGTTAGTAGCACCACGCTGGTTAGTAGCACCACGCTGGTTAGTAGCACCACGCTGGTTAGTAGCACCACGCTGGTTAGTAGCACCACGCTGGTTAGTAGCACCACGCTGGTTAGTAGGACAACCACCATCACCAACCCGCCCTCCGAAGCTGTTCCCACCCCCTGTGTCCTCCTCAGCCCTAAGCCTCTTCCTGCCCCTCTTGCCATCCTTTTCACCAGCTTTCCTTCCTCCCTCCTCCTCCACCTGCTGCTGCCTTCCATCTCTAGCTTTCCCTCCTACATTCTTCTGCCCCTTGCCGTTGTCTTCAAACCCCTTTTGCTCCTGCCTGCCTCTCCCCCTCACACACACCTGACCACCCTCTTCCTCTTCCTCTTCCGCTCCCTCTTCCCCCTTCTCTCCCTCCTCTTCCTCCTGCGGCTCCTCCATCTCTCTCATTCCATCTCTACCTCCCTCCCTTCCCTCCTTCCAAGCAAGTCCTGTGGAACAGGGTACGTCCTCTGGAATTCTCTCGAGGCGCCTCAAGAAGGTATGTTCATTGGAAGAAGGAATGTTCTCTAGAATTCCACGACCCTTCCACCGACTGACTCTCCTCCTCGCATCCTTTCCCTCACGCAAAGGTAATTCCATCACCTCTTCTTCCTCCTCCTCCTCCTCCTCCTCCTCCTCCTCCTCCTCCTCCTCCTCCTCCTCCTCCTCCTCCTCCTCCTCCTCCTCCTCCTCCTCCTCTACCCTACTCCCTTTACTCTCCCAACCCACCCCAACCTCCCCCTCCCCATCCTTTCCACGCGCCCTTCTCTCCCCAGCCCGGCTCCTCCTGCTCCTCGTCCTCACACGCTTCGTATCACCACACCCAGCAGGGGCCACATAGCTACCCCCTTCGGACGGCAGTAGGAGACAAGCAGGCACAGGCACCTGCAGCTCGTCTAGAAACATGCACGCCTGCGCCTTGCAAATGGGCCACACCTTGGCCTCCCGCCGCCCTGTCTCTTTCATGTACCGCTCCCGAGCATATACTGAGGCTTGGAAAAAGTGCACGGGCGTTTTGTGTGCCTCCTGCCGGGGGGGAGCAGGTGGTGTGGGGAGAGAGAGGGGGGAAATGATTGTGAACGGGTGATGATTTGGCCTCTCGCCGCCCTGTCTCTTTCGTGTACCGCTCCCTCGCATACACTCAGGCTTGGAGAAAGTGCACAGGGGTGTTGTGTGCCTCCTGCCGTGGAGCTGGGGGTGGTGTGGGAAGAAGTGGGGTGAAAGTTTAGGTATGGCAATACGGGGACAAAAAGATGGGGGATAGACAGGAACGGGGATGGGAAAAAAAAAGAGAGCGGTTGGATGTTAATGAAACATTACGCGTGGGAGAGGAAGGGCAGACGAGTCGGGATGAATAGAGGTGGATAGAGGAACGAAAGTTACAAGGTCAGGTGCGGTGTGGTGTGGCCAAAACGTGGTGTGGTGTGGTGTGGTGTGGTGTGGTGTGGTGTGGCAAGCACCAAATGCGTAAAGCAGCAGAGAAATGTTACAGCAATGTGGTTTGGCCGAAACGTTTGGCTTGGGAAAAGCGAACGGGAGGAGGGAAATCAGGGCGAAGGAGGAGGTGTGGAGGGGAAGGGGACCAAGCAAGGGGTCAAGGAGAGGGTTGAAAGGAACAACTGTGTCGTTAAGTAGACTCAGAAGCGTCAGCGTGAACAGCAACGGACCTCTTTTAAGTAGACCATGCGGTACTTTCTTGCGCGCGAGCACGAGTTTTTTTGACAAGTCTAGCATTTACGAGCGTCAGTGTCCAGCATCGGACAGCATCGGACAGCATCAGACAGTGGCGGACAGTGGCGGAGAGCGGTGGAGAGCGGTGGAGAGCGGCGGACCTCTTGGAAGTAGACCATGCGGTTCTTGCGCGAGAGAAGGAAGCCCAGCGCGAACAGCGTCGCGTCCAGCACCTTCTTCCCCTCGCCAAACAGCCGAGCGCGGATCCCGTACCAAGTCGCCCCCCCGCGCGGTGTCATGCCCGCCGCCGCCCCCGCCCCCGCCGCCGCCGCCGCCCCCGCCGCCCCCGCCGCAGCCGCCGCCGCCGCCGCCTCCCGCCAATCCCGATGATCCCGCCAATCCCGCGGAGCGAGAGTGCTCTCCGCCGATCGGCGCGGCGGAGCCATGCCGGTCAACGCGGTCAACGCGGTCAAGCAGGCACCACCGTCACTTTACGGGTTTTCAGACTAGCACATAGACTGCCCGAAATTAGGTTGGTTTGTTACTTTTTCTCGCTTGTTATCCTGCTTCGCGGAACGCGCGAGACTGGTCCGGGAGTGTTGGCTAGAACGCAGCAGGGTCCGGCTCGGGACAAGAACGCTGCTGCCTCGAACTTGCTTCGGAAAAGGTCCGACGGGCTGCAGCGAACGGAGAGATATACGACGGGAAGCAGCAGCAGCTGCAGGGGAATATAACAGGGACTAAAATGGGACTGAAGGGGACTAAAACGGGGACAGGCTATAACAGTAGAACCGCGTTCTTACGAGTCTGACAGGTGGCATCGGGGAGAAGCCGAGAAGAATCTAGGGAACGGGCGAGGGACGCGGCAAGGCAAATGGGCGACGAGGTTAAAGCTCGCGTCTCATATTTTTTGGTTCCAACCATGTGTTAAACGCTTGGAACCTGGTAACAGCCTGTTTTGTCGCACAACACCCCCAAGCAAGGGTTGGGTGGTAGGCCCCGCAAACCAAATGTACAGTACAAACAACGCGGGGAGATCCAGGGTATGGTTACGCCAAACCAAGTTGGGCGACACACCTGCGCGACGAAACCACAGGGTGCGACATCAGAGTGTCGCACTCTCCCGCGTGCACACCAAGCATTTTACAGGGGTCGGAAATATAAGATGTAGAACTCTACCATCCTCACAAGGAGCGAAGTTCCAGCACCACATCAAGTGTTTTACGCTTACCGATCACACGTCTAGAGTACACTTACCTCAGCAAAGTCCTCCTAAGACGATCACCGAGACCCTCATACACTACTTAGACAACCAACTACCTCGAGACGCGTTCTCCATCACTACCTCTTCCGCTCTGCACCGTTATTTCCCAGCCCGCGCACGTCACAATCTAGAACGCCAGCAGGTTGATCCTTGTTATCAGCTGCCTTCGCGGAGCTGCCAGTATCCGCCTTGCCTCGCACTCCTCCACTGCTTTTAGTAGGTGAGCTCGACGGTTTAGGGTTATAATTCCTTCGAAATCGAGCATGAGGGAATGTCTGAAGATGGCGGAACGATAGACGGGTTGGGGATAGCTTGCCGAATTAGTGGCCTAATGGCGTTAGAGCGCGGAATTAGTGGCGGAATTCCTGGTGAGAGGCGAAATGATGAAAGATGGCGGAATGAAAGATGGCGAGATGATGGTAGATGTTGCAATAAGTGGGGAAATGATGATAGTTGGCGGATTGATAGACTACAGCAGTGGTGATAGGCGGCATCATGAGAGGCGAAATGGTGGTAAATAGCGGAATGAGAGGCGACGTGGAGGTAGATGGCGGCATGAGAGGCGAAATGGTTGTAACCTCCCGAATGGGAGGCGAAATGGTGGTAAATGGTGCAATGAGAGGGAAGGGGGAAAGGGATGTCAGGTCAGACGGGAGAATGGAGGTGCCATGATAGGGTGAGAAGAGGATGTGTTGTAAAGAGGGCTACGGAAGTGATGTGAGAGAGGGAAAAGAAGTGCTCAGGGAGGGGGAAGGGAGGAGAGGACAGACGGTGAAGGTAGGTGAGGGGAGGGGGAAGGGAACGTGAGTTAAGGGGGAGGAAGAGAGGTTCTGGGATAGGGCTCAGGGAGGGAGGTGCTGGCAGGGGGGAAATATATGATGTGAGAGGGGGAAAGGAGGTGCTGTGAGAAGGGGGAGGGAGGTGAGCAGGGAGGTTATTTCAGCAGGGCGAGGGAGCAAAGGTCAGGCAGAGCGTGAGGTCAAGGTGGGTAGGGACGTTCTGTGAGGGTTTGAAGGGAGGGTCTGTGAGAGGGGGAAGGGAGGGAGGACGGAGGGGGAGAGAAGGTGCGCAGAGAGGGGGAAGGAGGAGAGGACAGAGGGTTCCTGCTTCCCCCCATCCCCTTCCCTGCTTCCCCCCATCCCCTTCCCTGCTTCCCCCCATCCCCTTCCCTGCTTCCCCCCATCCCCTTCCCTGCTTCCCCCCATCCCCTTCCCTGCTTCCCCCCATCCCCTTCCCTGCTTCCCCCCATCCCCTTCCCTGCTTCCCCCCATCCCCTTCCCTGCTTCCCCCCATCCCCTTCCCTGCTTCCCCCCATCCCCTTCCCTGCTTCCCCCCATCCCCTTCCCTGCTTCCCCCCATCCCCTTCCCTGCTTCCCCCCATCCCCTTCCCTGCTTCCCCCCATCCCCTTCCCTGCTTCCCCCCATCCCCTTCCCTGCTTCCCCCCATCCCCTTCCCTGCTTCCCCCCATCCCCTTCCCTGCTTCCCCCCATCCCCTTCCCTGCTTCCCCCCATCCCCTTCCCTGCTTCCCCCCATCCCCTCCCTTTCTTCCCCCCATCCCCTCCCCTTCTTCCCCCCATCCCCTTCCCTGCTTCCCCCCATCCCCTTCCCTGCTTCCCCCCATACCCTTTCCTGCTTCCCCTCATCTCGTTTCCTGCTTCCCCCCATCCCCTTCCCTGCTTCCCCCCATCCCCTGGCACCCGCACTCTCACTCTCCTTCCTCCCGCACTCTCTCTCTCCGTCCTCTCGCATTCGCACTCTCCTTCCCACCACCCTCTGCCCTGTTCCCACCTGCTCTCCCCATCCCTGCCTTTCCCTCCCTGCCATGGGCTTCGCTTCCCCATCCCTTCTCAACCCTTGCCTTCCTTTTCATGCCCTCCCTTCCCCCTCACTCCTCACCTTCCGCCCTCTAGTTCCCATGCATGTGCACCCATCACTGTCTCCCCATACATGCTTTCATCATGTGCGCTTGCTTGTGTTCCCTTGCAGTTGTTCCCTTGGCACCTCACACCACCTCCCCCATGTTCCTTCACACAATTCTTCCCTGCCTACTCCACTCCCCTAATTTTCAGTGGTGAAGCAGAGGAGCAAGCTGAGGCGCAGCTAAAGCTAGTCCATGCTTTACACCATACCACCACCTGTTTCTTGTGTGTTGTATGCAAGCATGTGAGGGTTTTACAGTAATAGATGATACATCTATAACAAAGGCACAGTATGTGCTTTTCTTTATGCAGTGCAAGATATTTTTCTAAGATGCATGGACACCGAGATTGTCAGAATGGTAGATAGAGGCATGTTCCTGATACTGGCATGTTCTAATACTGGCATGTTCTAATACTGGCATGTTCTAAGCCCTTTCTGCCCCCTCACGCTTACCTGCCCCCCCCTCCCCTCACCTCCCTCCCTGTCCACAGGCAAGCTCCCCTCTCTCCTACCTCTGTCTGGGTCCCAAAAGCGGGAAAACATATAGTGAACTAGGATTTGCAGCGAGGAGGCCTGAGGTGCGGACAGTAATGAGCAGCAATAACGCGGAGCATTATCCATTGTGCATTCTCTCCTCTCTCACATCGCAACTCTGGCCCCAAAACAATTCGACTTCCCTGTCCTATCTCTTTTCCCTCTCCCCACTATTCCCTTGTCTGCCCTTTCTCCCCGCTCCCTTACTCTTTCCCCTCTCTCCCTCATTCCCATCTTTTTCCCCTCCCACCCTTCCTCCTATCGCAGCCCTTTCCCCTCTCTCCCTTACACCCATTTCTTTCCCCTTTCTCCCTTACTCCCTTCGCTGTCCTTTCTCCCCTGTTTACCCCCCTGCTCATTCCTTGTTTTTCCTCTGGTTACCCTGTGTTTCCCCCCAGCTTACCTTTTGTTTCCCTGCTGCTAACACTTAGTTTTCACTCCCACCCTCATTCCCTTGTTTCCTTTCCTCTAGAGCCCTCTGATCCCTACTCCATAAGAACTCTGGTAGTCGGTTTCCTTCCTGTTGTTGTGATCTTGCTCTCCCCTTCCTTACCCCTAAGTCACTCATTATCTTACGACCTGTTTCTGCCCCCCCTGGCTTCTCCTTCCCACCTTCCCTGTCCCGTCTGTTGTGCAGCTCATAGAGCATGAAGCAATCAAGAAGACAAGCTGCTAGCTACATATAGGATGGTAGTGTGTACCCTCAAGTATCAGTTTTGCAAAATACATTAAAACGAGGTTTCTGTATATCCAACAGTGAAGGCATTGGTGATGAGTGGTTGGTATGTATAGGTCTCTTTCGAAACACTGCTTTATGAAGTGAGTAAGGTATATAAATAACTGAAAGTACAAAACAGCCACTCTTGTTGCCTCAGCTACTCAATTTGCTCTTGCACCTGTTGCCAAACTTGCTAAGGCACAGCTTCACCCTGCACCTAGTACTGGGGAGTAAAGATGTGGAGAAGGGAGGAGAGGTGGGGAGGAAGGGAGGACAGAGCATGAGGAAGGGATGAGAGACGGGATGGGTGGATAGATGGAAGGACGGGAGGAGAAGAGGTGCAAATGGAAGGGAAGGGAAGGGAATGGAAGGGAGGTGAGGGAAAGGTATTAGAAGGGAAGGGATGGGAGAAGAGGGGAGGGAAGTGCGACCTGGGGGAAGGGGAAGTGCGACCTGGGGGAAGGGGAAGTGCGACCTGGGGGAAGGGGAAGTGCGACCTGGGGGAAGGGGAAGTGCGACCTGGGGGAAGGGGAAGTGCGACCTGGGGGAAGGGGAAGTGCGACCTGGGGGAAGGGGAAGTGCGACCTGGGGGAAGGGGAAGTGCGACCTGGGGGAAGGGGAAGTGCGACCTGGGGGAAGGGGAAGTGCGACCTGGGGGGAAGGGGAAGTGCGACCTGGGGGGAAGGGGAAGTGCGACCTGGGGGAAGGGGAAGTGCGACCTGGGGGAAGGGGAAGTGCGACCTGGGGGAAGGGGAAGTGCGACCTGGGGGGAAGGGGAAGTGCGACCTGGGGGAAGGGGAAGTGCGACCTGGGGGAAGGGGAAGTGCGACCTGGGGGGAAGGGGAAGTGCGACCTGGGGGAAGGGGAAGTGCGACCTGGGGGAAGGGGAAGTGCGACCTGGGGGAAGGGGAAGTGCGACCTGGGGGAAGGGGAAGTGCGACCTGGGGGGAAGGGGAAGTGCGACCTGGGGGGAAGGGGAAGTGCGACCTGGGGGAAGGGGAAGTGCGACCTGGGGGGAAGGGGAAGTGCGACCTGGGGGGAAGGGGAAGTGCGACCTGGGGGGAAGGGGAAGTGCGACCTGGGGGGAAGGGGAAGTGCGACCTGGGGGAAGGGGAAGTGCGACCTGGGGGGAAGGGGAAGTGCGACCTGGGGGGAAGGGGAAGTGCGACCTGGGGGAAGGGGAAGTGCGACCTGGGGGAAGGGGAAGTGCGACCTGGGGGAAGGGGAAGTGCGACCTGGGGGGAAGGGGAAGTGCGACCTGGGGGAAGGGGAAGTGCGACCTGGGGGGAAGGGGAAGTGCGACCTGGGGGAAGGGGAAGTGCGACCTGGGGGGAAGGGGAAGTGCGACCTGGGGGGAAGGGGAAGTGCGACCTGGGGGGAAGGGGAAGTGCGACCTGGGGGGAAGGGGAAGTGCGACCTGGGGGAAGGGGAAGTGCGACCTGGGGGGAAGGGGAAGTGCGACCTGGGGGAAGGGGAAGTGCGACCTGGGGGGAAGGGGAAGTGCGACCTGGGGGGAAGGGGAAGTGCGACCTGGGGGGAAGGGGAAGTGCGACCTGGGGGGAAGGGGAAGTGCGACCTGGGGGGAAGGGGAAGTGCGACCTGGGGGGAAGGGGAAGTGCGACCTGGGGGGAAGGGGAAGTGCGACCTGGGGGAAGGGGAAGTGCGACCTGGGGGGAAGGGGAAGTGCGACCTGGGGGGAAGGGGAAGTGCGACCTGGGGGAAGGGGAAGTGCGACCTGGGGGAAGGGGAAGTGCGACCTGGGGGAAGGGGAAGTGCGACCTGGGGGGAAGGGGAAGTGCGACCTGGGGGGAAGGGGAAGTGCGACCTGGGGGGAAGGGGAAGTGCGACCTGGGGGGAAGGGGAAGTGCGACCTGGGGGGAAGGGGAAGTGCGACCTGGGGGGAAGGGGAAGTGCGACCTGGGGGAAGGGGAAGTGCGACCTGGGGGAAGGGGAAGTGCGACCTGGGGGAAGGGGAAGTGCGACCTGGGGGGAAGGGGAAGTGCGACCTGGGGGAAGGGGAAGTGCGACCTGGGGGAAGGGGAAGTGCGACCTGGGGGAAGGGGAAGTGCGACCTGGGGGGAAGGGGAAGTGCGACCTGGGGGGAAGGGGAAGTGCGACCTGGGGGGAAGGGGAAGTGCGACCTGGGGGGAAGGGGAAGTGCGACCTGGGGGAAGGGGAAGTGCGACCTGGGGGGAAGGGGAAGTGCGACCTGGGGGGAAGGGGAAGTGCGACCTGGGGGAAGGGGAAGTGCGACCTGGGGGGAAGGGGAAGTGCGACCTGGGGGGAAGGGGAAGTGCGACCTGGGGGAAGGGGAAGTGCGACCTGGGGGGAAGGGGAAGTGCGACCTGGGGGGAAGGGGAAGTGCGACCTGGGGGAAGGGGAAGTGCGACCTGGGGGGAAGGGGAAGTGCGACCTGGGGGAAGGGGAAGTGCGACCTGGGGGGAAGGGGAAGTGCGACCTGGGGGGAAGGGGAAGTGCGACCTGGGGGAAGGGGAAGTGCGACCTGGGGGAAGGGGAAGTGCGACCTGGGGGGAAGGGGAAGTGCGACCTGGGGGAAGGGGAAGTGCGACCTGGGGGAAGGGGAAGTGCGACCTGGGGGGAAGGGGAAGTGCGACCTGGGGGGAAGGGGAAGTGCGACCTGGGGGGAAGGGGAAGTGCGACCTGGGGGAAGGGGAAGTGCGACCTGGGGGGAAGGGGAAGTGCGACCTGGGGGAAGGGGAAGTGCGACCGGGGGGAAGGGGAAGTGCGACCTGGGGGAAGGGGAAGTGCGACCTGGGGGGAAGGGGAAGTGCGACCTGGGGGAAGGGGAAGTGCGACCTGGGGGGAAGGGGAAGTGCGACCTGGGGGAAGGGGAAGTGCGACCTGGGGGGAAGGGGAAGTGCGACCTGGGGGGAAGGGGAAGTGCGACCTGGGGGAAGGGGAAGTGCGACCTGGGGGAAGGGGAAGTGCGACCTGGGGGGAAGGGGAAGTGCGACCTGGGGGAAGGGGAAGTGCGACCTGGGGGGAAGGGGAAGTGCGACCTGGGGGGAGGGGAAGTGCGACCTGGGGGGAAGGGGAAGTGCGACCTGGGGGGAAGGGGAAGTGCGACCTGGGGGGAAGGGGAAGTGCGACCTGGGGGAAGGGGAAGTGCGACCTGGGGGGAAGGGGAAGTGCGACCTGGGGGGAAGGGGAAGTGCGACCTGGGGGGAAGGGGAAGTGCGACCTGGGGGAAGGGGAAGTGCGACCTGGGGGGAAGGGGAAGTGCGACCTGGGGGGAAGGGGAAGTGCGACCTGGGGGGAAGGGGAAGTGCGACCTGGGGGGAAGGGGAAGTGCGACCTGGGGGGAAGGGGAAGTGCGACCTGGGGGGAAGGGGAAGTGCGACCTGGGGGGAAGGGGAAGTGCGACCTGGGGGAAGGGGAAGTGCGACCTGGGGGAAGGGGAAGTGCGACCTGGGGGAAGGGGAAGTGCGACCTGGGGGGAAGGGAAGTGCGACCTGGGGGGAAGGGGAAGTGCGACCTGGGGGAAGGGGAAGTGCGACCTGGGGGAAGGGGAAGTGCGACCTGGGGGAAGGGAAGTGCGACCTGGGGGGAAGGGGAAGTGCGACCTGGGGGGAAGGGGAAGTGCGACCTGGGGGAAGGGGAAGTGCGACCTGGGGGGAAGGGGAAGTGCGACCTGGGGGGAAGGGGAAGTGCGACCTGGGGGGAAGGGGAAGTGCGACCTGGGGGAAGGGGAAGTGCGACCTGGGGGAAGGGGAAGTGCGACCTGGGGGGAAGGGGAAGTGCGACCTGGGGGGAAGGGGAAGTGCGACCTGGGGGAAGGGGAAGTGCGACCTGGGGGAAGGGGAAGTGCGACCTGGGGGGAAGGGGAAGTGCGACCTGGGGGGAAGGGGAAGTGCGACCTGGGGGGAAGGGGAAGTGCGACCTGGGGGAAGGGGAAGTGCGACCTGGGGGGAAGGGGAAGTGCGACCTGGGGGGAAGGGGAAGTGCGACCTGGGGGGAAGGGGAAGTGCGACCTGGGGGAAGGGGAAGTGCGACCTGGGGGGAAGGGGAAGTGCGACCTGGGGGGAAGGGGAAGTGCGACCTGGGGGGAAGGGGAAGTGCGACCTGGGGGAAGGGGAAGTGCGACCTGGGGGAAGGGGAAGTGCGACCTGGGGGGAAGGGGAAGTGCGACCTGGGGGGAAGGGGAAGTGCGACCTGGGGGGAAGGGGAAGTGCGACCTGGGGGAAGGGGAAGTGCGACCTGGGGGAAGGGGAAGTGCGACCTGGGGGGAAGGGGAAGTGCGACCTGGGGGAAGGGGAAGTGCGACCTGGGGGGAAGGGAAGTGCGACCTGGGGGGAAGGGGAAGTGCGACCTGGGGGGAAGGGGAAGTGCGACCTGGGGGGAAGGGGAAGTGCGACCTGGGGGAAGGGGAAGTGCGACCTGGGGGGAAGGGGAAGTGCGACCTGGGGGAAGGGGAAGTGCGACCTGGGGGAAGGGGAAGTGCGACCTGGGGGAAGGGGAAGTGCGACCTGGGGGAAGGGGAAGTGCGACCTGGGGGGAAGGGGAAGTGCGACCTGGGGGGAAGGGGAAGTGCGACCTGGGGGGAAGGGGAAGTGCGACCTGGGGGAAGGGGAAGTGCGACCTGGGGGAAGGGGAAGTGCGACCTGGGGAAGGGGAAGTGCGACCTGGGGGAAGGGGAAGTGCGACCTGGGGGAAGGGGAAGTGCGACCTGGGGAAGGGGAAGTGCGACCTGGGGGGAAGGGGAAGTGCGACCTGGGGGGAAGGGAAGTGCGACCTGGGGGAAGGGAAGTGCGACCTGGGGGGGAAGGGGAAGTGCGACCTGGGGGGAAGGGGAAGTGCGACCTGGGGGAAGGGGAAGTGCGACCCTGGGGGAAGGGAAGTGCGACCTGGGGGGAAGGGGAAGTGCGACCCTGGGGGAAGGGGAAGTGCGACCTGGGGGGAAGGGGAAGTGCGACCTGGGGGGAAAGGGAAGTGCGACC